TACACATTATCTTGAATCAACTTGTATACAACTCCTCAGGACTATGAACAATACACATTATCTTGAATCAACTTGTATACAACTCCTCAGGACTATGAACAACACACATTATCTTTGATCGACTTGTACACAACTCCTGAGGACTATGAACAACACACATTATCTTGGATTAACTTGTACACAACTCCATCAGTGAGGTGTAATACTGCTAGCCAACAGCTCCAGGGATCATAATATTACATTCCTGTATTTCATCTTTTTAGTTGGCTTTCACAATTGGGAAGGCATGGTCCATCCATATTCCTTTAGTTATGACCAATGAAAGTGAACATATTAAATGGATTAAATAAAAAAGAATTCATGACAAAATGCAACTTTACATGAGGGAATGTAATTTTATTTCATTATTTTTATCCCCGAGTTCAGACATTAATTTAGATCAACTTGCATACAACCCCACCAGTGAGGTGTAGTAGTGTAAACTAGCATTTCACACATCAACCCTATGTACACAGCTGGGAGTCAAATTGTGTATGTCATAACATTTTACAGTTACATTGAAAATTTAATCAAACAACTTTATTATCAATTTATGTCAATAAACTTGGAATGAAAACATAGTTAATAAATCATATTTTAATATATGGATTTTAATTTCTTAGTTTCAAAAGGAAATGTTTAAATAAATTCTCAATATAAATAGAAAGTCAAACTTGCATGCTACACCCTTCTATCACATACATTACTTACAGCCAACAGAGAGAGGATTTTAGACACAAATACTGCTAAGACATAACCTAATCTTATATCATCTTGATTTACAGATATAAACTAGAAAGTCAAACCTACATGCTACACCCTATCACATACATTACTTACAGCCAACAGAAAGAGGATTTTAGACACAAATACTGCTAAGACATAACCTAATCTTATATCATCTTGATTTACAGATATAAACTAGAAAGTCAAACCTTCATGCTACACCCTTCTATCACATACTACATTATTTATAGCCAACAGAAAAAGATGATTTTAATTTTTTGATTTCTATATATAGCCATTTCATTCTGACAACAGTGTTTGAATTATTTTGCCTACAAACTCATCCTGGCTATACCGAGATCAGTTCAACCAGAAGGTCTTGGTTCTGCTACCCACAGACAACAACAAACTCATCTTGCAGTGAAAAGGACCTTTTGAAATGCAGGAAGTGGTCAACAGAATGGACGAGAAGACCAAGACCTACCACCCCAATCTGGTACTTCATAAGGGAAGAAGCTCTAAGCTATTGAGGAACAAATAGATATTGCAGGTGTGGTTGTCATAGATGCAGAACAAGAAGATGGTGATTTTGTCATAAAAGGTGAAGACCTACTAGACTTAACACCACAAGGTGAAGATAAGACATACAAAGACATCAACATAAGTGAAGAACTGACTGGCAAGCAGAAGAAAGAGTTACAAGATCTACTGTGCCAGTACACAGATGTCTTCACAGGTGGACCAGGCAAGACAGACCTTGTGTAACACAAGATCGAAACCATGATCGGTGATCCAGTCAAGGTGAAGCCCTACCAGATGCCCTATGCTATGAGAAACCTGATCAAACAATAAGTTAAGGTAATGTTAGAATCTGGAATCATTCAGCCTTCGAATTAAGCCTACTGTTCACCAGTGGTGATTGTGAAGAGAGACAGCTTAAACCACTTCTGCATAGATTTATGGAAGCTGAACCTCGTGACAAAGTTCAACTCCAAACCTATGAGCAACCCAGAGGCTATCATGGCAAAACTAGACAGGGCCAAGTTCTTTATCAAAATCTAACTCAGTAAAGATTATTGGCAGATCCCGATGGAGACAGAATCTAAAGAGAAGACAACCTTTGTGACACTAAACAGATTCTACCAGTTCAAGAGGATGCCGTTTGGGTTAGTCAACTCAGCAACAGCTTTCAACCGTGTGATGAGGAAGACGTTACACAAAACCACCAACATCAAGCATTATCCCTTTCAAGACAGGTCACAGGTGAAAGGCCATGTCATCTTGTTTGTTGACAAACATTCACAATCTTATTGAACTACTATTTCATGAATTTATGTCAATAAGTTTAGTACCAAACTGTATATCATAATTGAAATTTTAGAACTATACATTATTCAAATTGTTAATTTAAAAGTAAATATTAAAAAAACACAGATAAACATCAATTTTTGTGTGTCACGTGGTTCAAATTAGATGTTTGTGATGTCAAAATACTATGTCTACAGTTTCATACGAATTAGAAACTCAAATTACAGATATAGACAAGCTAGAAAATAAAATAATAATAAGGGCTTATCTTTTCTATTTGCTAAGATATTGCTCACGTAATA